TAGGGAGATGGGTAGGATTCATCTGGCAGTTCGATTACAAGATCGAACGGATTGCTGGAATCCGCAACAAGGCAGATGGGCTGAGTCGGGTTTGCATCGCTCCCGAAGGGATGGAGGATGCAGAGCCCATAGACGCCTTCCTCGAATACGAAGGAGGAACTCTTGCGGTGGACAACGAGATGATGAGCGGAGAATGCACATCGGGAGAACTACTGATCCAAACTTTGGAGAAAGGGGCACCTGTCGTAGTAGCAGAACTCAGAGAAGGACCAGTTACCACTCGAGGACGCAGAGAAGAAAAAGACGCATGGAGAGCGATAGTAGGACCGAAAGAGGAACTTATAGCAATGGCGGTGGAAGGGGGCCGGGAGGCAGTGATGAGCTTAGTGGAATCTTGGGAAAGGAAAGAGTTGCAACGGGTGGTAAATCAGATGCAGGAAGGAAAGGATGGGGGCAAGGAAGGAGAGGAGTTTTTCTATGTCCAATCATATGAAGGGCTCTTTCGGGAGATCGGGTTGTTGTTGGTAGGAAACAAACAACCTACGGAAGTCAGTATTAAGGCAAGAGAAGAAGCCGAAAGGTACGTCCTAAGGGGCGGGCATTTGTTCCGGAGGGAGGAAGGTGCTATGCTTAGAAGGGTTGTGTGCGGAAGGTCTAGGCAAGTAAACGTTATCCAGGCAATGCACGACGGGTTAGCTGGAGGTCATCGGTCTTCCAAAGGAACACTTGCAAAGATAACGCCGATCTATTATTGGCCAGGCATGGCAGGCATGGTCGCCATATACTGCCAGACTTGCCTCATTTGCCAAGAACGAAGCTCGGTACGAGTCTTCGAGCCGCTTAGACCAACGCGGGTGCTAGTGTCGGGACATCTGGTCCACCTCGACCTTGCGGTCATGCCTGTATCAACAGATGGGTACAGGTATATCCTGGATGAGCGAGACAACTTGAGTGGGTTCGAGGAGGCAGTCGCCCTCAAGAAAAAGACAGGGAGGAGTGTGGCGGACTGGATAGAAGACTTCTACTTAAGGCACCCGTTCGTCAGGAGGTTTATAGCAGACAATGGGACGGAATTTATAAACCAAGAAGTATTGGGGATGCTTAAGAGACTCTGCGTACCGATCAAACTCATCGAGCCGTATCACCCTGAAGCCAATGCACCGGTGGAAAGGGGGCACCGAACCTTGAAGAACACGATTGCAAAGCTCGCAGCAGACCATCTGGGGAACTGGCCTAGGTATCTTAAGCAGGCTGTCTTTGCAGAGAATATGACTCCTAAAAGGACAACAGGATGTATCCCGGCAGAGCTTTGGTACGGAAGAGAGATCGACTTTCCTGTGGAAGCCTTGGTACCTACCTGGAATAGGTTAGATGATGATCCGCAAATGACCACTGAAGAGTTAATTGAGGCAAGATCTCAACAGATCCTTAAGAATGAGGAGGTCGTGGAAGACATCGCCAGTCGGGTGCTGGACAGCAGAATGAGGGACAAAGCAAGGTGGGACCAGATTAAGAATGTCAGAAAGGAGCCACTTCAGGTGGGGGAGATGGTATTGCTAAGGAACTCGGCACTAGAAAGTACTTGGTCGGGACAGTTGGGAAGGAGGTTCAAAGGCCCCTACCGGGTCGCCAAGCGGGGGGGACTGAAGACCTTCGAACTGGAAGATTTGGATGGAACTGGATTGAAAGGGCCCTTCCCGGGGCAACGACTGATCAGGTTTTTAAATCGGGACCCAGCGGAACAATGGCTTCAGGAGGCCGAAGATAAGGAAACAGAAGAGCCACAAGCTAAAGACTAATCACAGCCTTGCCCACACTATGGTTTGTCTCTGACCATGTTCGTGGGACTGTCATTTTTTTGGGACTGGTGCTTTGGCTTGGACTGACTGAAGTTGAAAGGTAGCATGACTTGGGGGTTTGCAATATCCGGCTTGTGTGACAACGGGAAGGGATGTTTGGGGCATTGTACCATAGTTTTTGACGGGAAAAATATGGGGTCATCACAAACGACGCATTCGCATGTATAAAAAGGGCGTGATGCGAGGGATACTGGGTGCATTTTGGGAATGTCTACCGGCCTAAGGGGGGGGAGGCGTAAGTGTATGGGGGACATTGCGGGCGTTGTTTTGTTATACAGGGCTTAGGAGTAAAACGAGAAAAGACAACAATGGAATTCGGCAACGAGAACGACAGCGGGGCAATCAACAGGCCTACC